CGTCTCAAACGAAGGCACCCCTTTTTGGAGACAATGAACTTCGCTCTCACAGGAATAGCAGTTATTGGAGCCCCAACAAGTCTGATCTCTGTGTTTTTTGCCTCCACGAGAGAAAAAGATCCGAGCATAAGCTGAACAGCCAAAAAGAAGACCGACCTTATGGTTCTTTTTCTCCACCTGTCTAAAACTGCACCCCAACTTCACCCACCCACGTCACCCACCAGCGCATCTGGGCTCTCCAAGCTGGACTGGGTGCGGTCTCCTCGCTCACTTTCGAGAGGACGTAGGTCACGGACTGCTTCCGGAAGTCCTCGAAGGTCAGCTCCTGACGGAGCCGGCGGAGCCCTTCGGGCCGACCGTCCCCGAGGAGAAGACCGTGGCATGCAGCGAAGTCATGGGAGTCTTGGAGTCGAAGGTGTCTGATTGCAGTTCATGTCCCAAAGTCCCCTGTTGCACTGGCTCAAAGAAGGACTTCTAAGGAGATGAAAAAGCAGAAAATACCACCACACCGCCGGTGTCTTTTGTTGAACCTCATAAGAGGGGCCGTTCGATTCTGAAACCCCCTCAACCGAACTCAAAATCTTCAGAGCGCCTTCGTCGCCAACTCCTGGAGACCAGGGGTGCTGGAGAGGACCTCAGATGGAGAAGGGCGAGCCCTCAGCAGACCCACGTGGTTTGTTTCACCTTGAGGTAGGCCCAGGTAGGCCGTGGTGCCCCTTCGGAATGGAGGTTAGACTTCACTAATTCACTGTGTTACTTCTTCCTTCAGGACCTCAGGACCTCCAAAGCTATGGCAGCCGGGCATTCCGATACATTCGGCCAATGGCCATGATCCGCTTCTCGTCCTTTCGGGAGAGAGGGGTCGTCGTATGGGACTGGCCAGGACGACATCAAAACTGCTTGGGGCTGAGAATCCTCCCAGGCTGCGCAAGTTCTTCTGAATAGGAATTTCTGAAACATAGGACGAGGATGGCCGTTGGATGATCGGAGGCCACTTCGCTACTTCAGCACTCAACTCACAGTCAGTGAGATACAGCACAGTCCGTTCGTGTGAGTTCAACGCCCCTTCTGGCGTTCGTGGCCACACACTCGCCTTGGCGGCGGAAAGCCACAAGGCGATCTTGCTCGCGCGGCTCCTCCGGACAACTCGGGGTACGACTGGGAAACATGCGAAACGGCACATCTTGTTTTACTCTGCATCTAAGGCATCGTCAGCTGTTTTCATGTCTTCTGAAAAACTCTGTCACTCCACCTGCTGCTTGTGTGTTTCTTTTTTGCCTGTTGTCTTGCTGAAGCCATGCAGGCTTGAAGATCAGTGCTGAGCTTTGCACATCTGCACGGACAAAGATGCGCCAGAATCTGTGCTTTCCCAATAGAACATCGAATCATCCTTATAAGTTCCTATGTATAAAACCGCAGAAGTCGGTAGTCTCTCCATTGTCCTTCCAAGAACAATCATGGAAAACATATTTCTATGACTCCACCGGTCGAAACCCCGTGAGCCAGACCTGAAAAACCCTCATTCAAAGCCCAACTCGCCTCACAGAGACGATCGCTCCACAAACCAGATCACCACCCTGCTCGTAAAAGGCCTGCACGTTGAGGAAAAAGTGCCAAACAAAAGGGATAACGCATGATAACGGGGTCCTGTTCAAGCCTGAACCGGAGTCTTTTCTTGAATTTCCTTTACCAGGCACTTCTGGATCGAAAAACTCCTGTGAGAGCCTCTTGTTTGGCCCTCAATGCCTCTTTGCACAGTCAGGCGACCACATGCCAGTGTAAGAATGAAGACAGCCTAGAAGCACTCCCGAATGGCCCCAAGGACAAGAAAACCTCAGAGTACGATGCCTCTATAAAACTCGCCAGCAATAATGCTCCAACAAGGAACGGCAGCTCATCTAGCAAGATTGGATGGGACTGAGCTACATATAGGTTGCCACCTGACGCTAGACTAAATCCTGTGTAGGGCAAGGGCCTTGACAACTCCGGGTCCTAGCCAGCTCATGCACTGAAAAATATCCTGCTCTTGGACCATCATCTCATCGAGAAATTTTAATGAAATCTTTCGAGCCCAAAAGCAAACTACTAGTAGGGGTCATCTACCAACTCTTCGCTCAAAAAGAGATATTGACACATAGAGATACCATCCCAAGTCGCTTTCCGCCCACCAAGTGGATCCCGCCTCACCAATGAGCGCCAGGTTGAGCGTGAGCCACAAATCGTCGAGGCTCTGGGCCTCGCGCAGCCCGGGTACAGCACACGCCACCCATCCTGGAGACCTGTGAGTTGGAAAACCTCGATCTAGATCGATTCAAACACATGAAGTAGATGCCTGTATGTCTTTCTTTAAATGTCCCAAAGTAGACAAACAACAAAAATATACCTCCTTCAAACAGAAATCCAATTCACCTTGAAGCTTGTTCACTTCACTGACAAGAGTTTGACCCAGCACCAACTTTTAGAGTGTTCCATCCAGCCTTGACCTTCTCAAGCTTGATTACCCACCTGCCCCCGTTCTTGAAGGCCGCATCCTGAACGGTTTGTGCGGCCGCGGCCACGCCAACAATCCGTCCAAGCTTGTTTGTACGAGCTCCGGGTCAAGAACGAACCAAACAAACCTCATGATCTCGTTGAGACAAACATCCCAGAAGTGCCCATTCTTGACACAGAAATGACAAAGGCGGGAGACTGAAAGACACCTGCTCTACGGCCGGTGTCTTAAAACGCTTGCTCTACGCCTAGGTCACGGTCTACAGTACATACCTTTTTCCTAATCCAAATGCAACTCATGTTTCCCCTCGTGTAAACACTACATTATACTATATTGGTGCACAAGTCTTTCAAACACCATGGACCAAGCTTGAGGTTTCTCGGCCTCCCAAGCAGGTGCAACACCTAGGGCTGACTAGCTTGCGCTTCATTTAGCAGTTTGCCAGCCAAGCGTACATGGCAAGAGAATCAGCCCAAATGAACGTGCTCGAAAAATGTTCGGTAAAAGAGAAACGCACCTAAGAATGCGACCTAAGAATGGGATGGCTACATATGCATAGATACTGTATATGGTCTGGAATTGGGGATGTTTAAAGTTTAAAGCAGTCCACCATAGCCCTTTCCAAAGCATGACTTGCAATCATGAAAATGAACAAGCAGAACAAGTTTCTCTCATTCCAAAACCCGCTGCAATATCATCACCCAGAAGAAAATGTCATTTCTGAGGGCACGACCTTGCTTGAAGAGAGAGTAGTCCACGTTTTCAAGCTTGGAGGGAGGATAGGAGAAGTGAAACATACACCAGAAGTCCTGCACCCAACATCAACTACTAGTTTCAAGCGGATGCAAAGCAAAACGATTCCCAGGCAGAATGTATCTTTGAAAGAAACAACATCAAACCCGTCTACTCTCAAGTGCATTTGTTTGTCTGAAGAACTTGTCCTACTTTGTCTTAAGCTATGATGTTGGACAAGCGCTTGCTCCTCTGCTGTCTCAAAGGAGTGCACTTCTTTCTGAGTCTCGTTCCAGGCTTTGTCCTGTCTCAACAAGACGTTGCTCGATTGCTCATCTTGGTCAGTGCAGTCTCACTGGCAAACGATCCACCAACTCCGCGCTGGCCTTCTGAGAGCCTGGTCGTTGGTGTACCCAAAGACACCTGGCTGTACAGTACAAAAAACACCTGCGCAACTGAAACGATACCAATCAAACTCTGAAAATGCAGCTGCTGATTCATGGTGCGACACAGCAAATCAATCAAGTTGTTGGACACCAGCGGTGCTGCAGCTCGTGCTTGGGTCCATCTTCAGGCGGCTCCTTGTGTTTCCCGCTGAGATGGTGTCGAAGAACAAAGGTCCACTGAGCTTAGCTTACTGTCCGTCCCGGACACAGCGGAGGCTCCGTCCTGACGGTTTGGTCTTGGAATCACAACATGTGGGCGGGGCGTCATTCAAAGGGCCTAGTCAACGCCCTGTTTCACGGTCAGTTTTGGGCCTATCCGATCAATATCCCGCATTTCGGACCAAATCCTGAAACTTCGGATCCCCTTCTTGGCTCATGTCGAAGGACCCAAAGGAAAGAACATGATGAACATGCTTGTGAGCGACCTCGGCCTCCTCAGCCATGACAACCTGAGGTTGGCGGATGGAACACCGCCAGCGGTGGGTTGAGACAACCGACGTTCCCCAACAGTTCCTCTTTTGTTCAAAAAAGCGCCTGTTGTGGCACAGCTGTGTGTGTGTGTGTTTTACTAGCGAGACTCCCAACCAATTTGTTGGAAGATCTCCCTATGTCTTTTTACACACCCATGTGACTGCGTGAGATACTGTCGCACAACTACGTCCAAACGCTACCTACGGAGGATTCACAAGGGCCTCGGCACCAAGATGGCACCGGTCGCGGGCTGCTTGTTGGGAGCCAAATCGTCGGACAAAGAACCAGAGATACGTAGGACCTGAGGACCTCACAACCTGCCGTCCCAATGGGCTGGTTTGAACCAAACCGTCCCTGGGAAGTGGAAGGAATAAGAAACTCATTAAGCTTAAGGTGCTCTGTGCTCCTCAAGACTTCGACATGGGGGGTTGGTTTGATAGACTACGGTAGTATACCAAACCAACCCCCCTGGACTGCGACTGGCTGAAGATTCACATGGATTGACTCATGCTGACCCTCAGAGACAGTGTTTGTTCCTCGACTCGATCATCCTTCAGAAACAAGTCACAGTCCGATGTCAGGCTTCCCAATCATGGACCGTGCAGTCAGTCCCTCTGGAAAAACCCGCCCTTTTGCGTTGCCATGCAAAACCGGGTTTCCACCGGCGCATGGAGAACGCTCAAAAATCTGGGCCCTCTAGGCGCATGAGGGAAACGAGGTATTCAACCCAGCAAAGCAATGGTTTTCTTGTAGCTGCGGCTTAACTGATCCCACGATTCGCGACTGAAAGTGTCTTACTCTCCGTTACACAAGCCCAACATCATGTTTTTGTCGCGCTTTTCTTTTGCAGCAGCACCCGTTCATTGGAAAAGGCTCGCCTGGCATCTCAGGGAGGTAACAGCTGGAGCTGGGAATTGCTAAAACAAAAACCAACCAACAAAATCTGCAAGAAAAACTACAATACACGAAAAGTAATGGCAACATTTGGCAGTATGTTTGTTGGACACTGCTGGTTTCAACAGCGTGATGAACCTTTTCAATGTGCCATGCGAACATACGAAAAGGAACACGGCAACATGTCAGCGCCTCAATAACATGTGCCCAAACAGCCCAAACAGCCCAAACATGTGACCCCTAAGCCTATAAGCTTCGCTGTTGGGGAATGAGAAATATTGTGATCTTTATTCTTCCCCGTACCGATACGTGATAAATGTCTCGACTTGGCAAAATGACTTGGCAGTTTCAGCTCAAGAATTTTGGTTTGGACTGGCCGGCCTCGGGTTTGGGTTGGAGGTTTGAAGAGCTGTTTGCCCTCAAGCCCTTTCAAACTCAAAGCAGTTAATTGGACAAAATCCATCATTACCCATTACCAATATACATCGATATCTTGACCCACTCGTAGCTCCCAGTGCGACAGTCTCGCGTGCCGGGCACGGCTGGCGCACCGAGCTGGGTGCAGGGGGCTCTTCTCCGCTCACTTTCGAGAGGACATAGGTGACGGACTGCTTTCGGAAATCCTCGAAGGTGAATTCCTCAGAGCAAAACACGTGGAACATCGTGGAACGAGGTCAAGAACCTGGGGCCTGTCGGATGTTGATCCTTGCATCGCTGTTGATGTGAACCAAAAAGGGATGAACCACATGACTTTCGCTCGTTGGGTGACTCAAAAAATATCCCCCGCAAAACACTGCCAGCTCACCAACTGCAATCCCTACCTTCGTAGCTAGCTCCTGAAGCCCAGGAGTGCTGGCGAGGACCTTGGCGCGGACAAATCAAAGATCCATTGTCGCGAAAAACCATTGAGTAGAGCCAAAATAGTGGCGCGGGTGAGAGATCTTCAAAACAGCAAGGCTGGAAGCTCTGAGAACAAGTCTGGGGAATCAGTTTGACCAGTCAAGTCTCTGTAATTTTTCTCGACTGATCAGCTGTAAAGGGCTGGCGTCCCGACGTTCCGATATTCTCGGCCAATGGCCATAACTCTTTTCTCATCCTCTCAGGGTGATACAAGTTCTTCTTTGAGCTGTCCACAAAAATACATTGCCTTCCACCGTGCTGCAAAACGGATTGCTTTTTGGACTTCGAATTCGCCTTGGCGGTGGTCAGCCACAGGGCAATCTTGCTGGCCCGGCTCCTGGATGCGTCCGGATCGGTCCCGTGCCGACCGGCTCCGGGTCCGGCGGCGTTTCACGACCGGCCTCACCGAGACGATCGCTCCGCACACCAGCTCGGCGCCGCCGACGTCGTAGAAGGCCTGGAAAACGGCCCGACTGAAGATGGGGAAGAATAGCTGGCAAATGGCTGAAATGCATGCTTCATCATGCTTCCAAGTCAGGATTTAGGAGCAGAAAAAGACACTCCTGCAAGCACCACCACCATTCCAACCTTTCCAACCTGTCCTCTTCCTACACATGTCGGTCAAGTCTGTCCAACAAATGTTGCCGATCTCAAAAGACTTGAAGTTTTGAGAACCAGCACATGTGTCCCCTTCAAATGCCAATCTGAAAGGCAATCATTGGTTTTATCTACAACATCGCTGTTAGGTAGAAGCCATCGCTGCTACGTGGAGCCATCGCTACCAGGTGGAGGCCATCGTTATTAGGTGGAAGGCATGATCACAGAGTTCTGCTCGCAGGCCTCACCAATGAGGGCTAGGCTGAGAGACAGCCACAAATCGTCTAGGCTCTGCGCCTGAGCCGTCTTCAGGCTCTCCAAGATGGGAATTGAGTCGGGTTTTGGGAGAGGTACACCCCAGAGGTACGTGAGTGCTTCCTTGTCCAGTCGGGAGGAACTCAGCCAGAACTGCATATTTCTGTGTTTGAGAGGTCTTGACAATGTGAAGACCAGGTTCTTGTCCAGCTTGGACATCAGACCATTCAGGCAGCCTTGCATTCCTACTGATTTGGCCGCGGATTCCATTCCTGCCAAAATCCGGCAGTCTGGCCTTGACCTTCTCAAGCTTGATGACCCATCTGCCTCCATTCTTCAAGGCAGCATCCTGGCAAAATCCATTGCGCTATGTCATACCACTTACAGTTTACCACCGTTTGGCAACAGCCTTCTTATCAAATTGACCCAGTTCGTTTTTCTGTCAGTTTGGTGTGACTCCTCCCACGCAGGTGCAATACCTCAAACGAAGCGACCAATGTCTGAGAGTCGTTGAATCGTCAACATCCCAATCTGCTCACCAAATCCCACACGAAGTTGCTGGTTTCAAGGACCGTGTGATTGAATACTTGCGATGGAACACCAAATTTCAAAACCCCGCTGAACTTGAATCTAGTTATTAAACTGGTTTCGCAGCAAGTAAGTGCGTGCTGTTTCGGCCTTTGTCAAATAAGAAACTCCACTGCTTCGGTTCGATGTCTGAGCGTGCGGCCCTGCTTGAAGAGGGAATAGTCCACATTTTCAAGCTTGGAAGGTGGATAAGAAAAGTGAAACATGCACCAAAAGTCCTGGAAGGGAGCGCAACCGATGTGAGTCCGATAACGGCGGTGGCGGTGACTTCATAAAAGTGTGTGCGTTTGTCTTATCTTGAGTACCTAGAAGCACTGGGCGCGCGTGTGTGTGTGTGTGCATGTGTGTGTGTGTCTGTGAAACCCTTGGAGTCACAGGGAATCAGTGGATTGCGTATTGTCTTCTTTTGGCTGTCAACTTAGCAGGGGAGTGCGGCATGATTGTGGACCGCACTCAACACAGCTACCACAATCATGGGATACCGGGTCTGATCAACTCGGCGTACCTGCAGTGTTTACCTGACAATCTTCGTGTTGGTCCCTGCTTTAGCTAGAACAAGAATTTCGGCCATTGCACCGGTTTGCATCTGCAGTCACGCATTGGTGTTTTGAGAGCTCCCGTCATCCTGTCACATCGCGATCCTCGACTTTGTGACTTTGAGATTTGGGCCTCTTTCCTTCTTTGGTTCGACCTCGAGGATACTCAGACCCCCCTTACATGACTTTGTCAGGAATACGGTTACCTAGGTTGCCGTGTGGCGAGTGGCATTCAATTCAGTAATTACGCATTTCCTAAACTTGTCTCTCCTCAGTGAGAGCCCAGGGTGTACCCGAGGAGTGTCCCCTGTGGCCCCGTTGAACGGGGGTTTGTCCATGTTCCCCGGCTTGGGAACGTAGGTGTCTGGAGCAGACAGTAGGAGGCTTATGCCAAAGATACTTGCCAAGATCTGATGAATTATTGAATGTGAGTAGGCAGCCTTCGGGCGCGCCAGAACGTGTCCGCAGCGGACTCAAGGAGGCTTTATGCCACGAGGTGGTCGCAGCGACCAAAGTGGGGTCTGCTGCGGCCTTTGGCGCACATACAGTATGCACATCTCCACCTGGCTCGTTCTAATGAGGCGCGGCTTCGTTTTCCGGCCCCTTCATTTGGTTCCCCCTTTCATCCTTTTTTGCCCCTCACACACTTTCTTTTGCCTCTTTCTGTTCACGTTTTTCGACTTTATGTTTCGTCATCTTGTCCTTTTTCTCTTGTGCGCACACACTGGTCTGATCCTTAATGCGCACGTGCGCCGGTACACGAAACCCAGGTCTTAGGTCACCCAGGTTGTTATAAGGAGGTTTGGCTCATCTGGTTGTTCCTGGACACTTGGTTCCTTTTCATCGCAACCACATACATCTTGTCTGTCTTGTCTGCGTGTATGTGAAGCCCTTGGGGCCACAGGGAATCCTTCGATTGTGTATTGTCTTCTTTTCACTGTTAGCTTGGCAGGGGAGTGCGGCATGATTGTGGGACCGCACTCAACACAGCTACCACAATCATGGGATACCGGGTCTGATCAACTCGGCGTACCTGCAGTGTTTACCTGACAATCTTCCTGTTGGTCCCTGCTTTAGCTAGAACAAGAATTTCGGCCATTGCACCGGTTTGCATCTGCAGTCACGCATTGGTGTTTTGAGAGCTCCCGTCATCCTGTCACATCGCGATCCTCGACTTTGTGACTTTGAGATTTGGGCCTCTTTCCTTCTTTGGTTCGACCTCGAGGATACTCAGACCCCCCTTACATGACTTTGTCAGGAATACGGTTACCTAGGTTGCCGTGTGGCGAGTGGCATTCAGCCCTGCACGCACGTGCTAAGTGTGTGTTGAACTTTCTTGCGCACCAACGAAGGCAATATCGCGTGCACAAAAACCAACATGAACGAAAACCGTGCTCCTCAACCGTGTCGAATGAGTGCGCTTCTCGCTGACTCTCATTCCACGCTTTATCCTGGCTCAGACGGACAGCATCTTTCAATCACAGCGTGACGTGAGCCTCCCACGCCAGTTCTCGCCGCGCCCTTGCCTTCTGGGAGCCTGGTCGTTGGTGTACCCAAAGACACCTGGCTGTTGTCTATCAACAAATCAGCACATATCTATATATATATATACATATTACCCTCGACCTTCCATTGATACACATTTTTTTTGCTCAACCCTATTCGATCACAAATCCAGAGTTCGAGCAAGATGGAACCAAATCAGTGAACCACAGTTTCGAGCATTTTTTGAAACTTCGAGAGCTTTTGGCTCCAGGTGTCAACAAAAAGCCTTCTTGACCAGGTGCCCCTTGTGATGTGTGATGTATGTCAATTTGTACGCGCATTCACAATCTCAATCTCGACCTTGGATCGGCTGGGCAATCCAAGTACATGCATGGATAGAGGTGCCACCCTGAACCTGAAAAATCCGACTTCAGCCACAGCCGCTAGCAAAGCCAAGGCTGCTCCAGCTCCCAAGCAGGAGGAGGAGGGCGATTCCAAGCGCAAGCGACTAAGTCGCGCCAAGGATTAAGGGTACTTTTGATCATTGGGCCAGGCGTGGTGCCCTTTGACTTTTGGACTGCAATTCAAGGCCTGTGGTATATGGATGATTGCTGTGACCACAGGATAGGATTTCGATCCGTGGTTCGATGGATGATGAGAAAAGAAACTGTTCCGAACGTTCTCCCTTAAAGTTTGCTTGTGCATCAGCTGGGCCCTTTTTAAAGCCCGGCCGTTTTCTCCATCGCAGGCGTTGAATCTGACAGTTGCGAAGTGTCCAACGAAAACGCTGATGGCCTGGAACCCCAAGTCCAAGTGAAAATCAGTGAGCATCAAGAATTTGGGTAGTGTCTTTATGCCCAGGCAGTGATTCATCGGACCCCTTTAAGGATGAGCTCATGACTGGGATTGAGGATGGGGTGTTTTGGAGGCAAATTCGCTAGTTTGAAGCCTCTGCGCCCGACTTGAATGACAGCCCCTTTGTGCCTCATGATGCCCAGGTGGACTCTGCAAGGCGGATGGTTAGAGTCGCTGCTGTTGCAGCTCGAAGAATCGAAAAATGTGGTGCCAAAGCTGCACTCAGATTGAACAAAAACAGAAAGCGCGCGCAAAATGTGGACAAGTTGTTTCAACTTCTTCACTGACTAGTGATTGCTACTAAGGGTTTTCTGACAGAATGGTCCGGTTGGCAAGATGCAGCGCCAACCACTCTAAACGAGAAGAATATCCAGGAGGAACCTTCAAACCCTAAGTTGTTTATTATGGGGTTCTTGGAGTGCACAAATCTTATAAGGTGCCGGACTTGACTGAGATCTTGGAGGTCTTGAAGTGGACCCTCAAGCACACCAACATCTACTTCAGGGTTTTGCATGGCTGTGGTCTATGGCATACCCCATGCCGATGCCGATGCGGGATATGGGAGACACTCAAACTGCTGTTGTACCTGTTTGGTTTTTGGGGGTGAGCTCTTGAACAAAAAGGGTTGTTATAATGTTTTTCTTATGGGTTGAGCTTCCGGACCAAAGCAACAAGGAAGGGAGCATCGGGCGCTCGCCTCTCTGTGCAACCATCGGGGCCCATACCAAATGCGCCCGACACTTCCCCTTCACACCTCACGTACCCTAGTTGCAATAAGTGTTTTCATTGACCCCTCTTCTTCAGTTGGTGGGCGTATCCCTGTCCAAGGCGAGATCAAGTTCAATGGTGCGAACACCTGTGCCCATGTCTTGGCATGGTCTTGCTGGGCCGATGAAGATTTGGTAGGCCGCTGTTGCAGAATAGGGCGCCGAAGACACTCTTTCAATACAGCTTTGTGAGTGCTACAACAGGTGACAATGATGCAGTGCAAGAGGCACTGGAAACAGAACATGTGACAGTCCCTGTCTAAGGCCTGTCTAAGGGCCTGACTCACTGGATGAAAAAGTTAGCGAAGACCAAGAAGTGTATGTGCATGCGTCAACAAAATTGTTTGGTCATAGCTGGATGATGATTCTGATATAAATATAGATCTGTACTCTCAAGTGGTACCTTTTTTCTTGCTCGAGGGAATTGTGCACAAAACATGTTCGATCTTACTCACACCGACTCCAACTCCAAAACAGGCCAATGTGCACCATCTGTGCTGCAGCTCATGTTTGGCTGCAGACAACTCATCTTCAGGCTCCTGGCATCAGAATCACGTTTGATTTCAGATGTGAAAAAACAGTCGCTGACCTGGCCAAAAAGGTCTTTCAAATCCCTGTCTCCTCTTTGGGGCTCTCGCCCTCCGCCATGACCTGGAGCCAGGAAAACACCATCTTGCGTGAGGTAGAACTAAGCGACAAAGAATCCAACGAACGTGCCTGGTGGACACACCTCATCACCTAGAGCTCATTTCTCAACCACTAGACGTGCTCGATCTCTTTCGCTCGACATCGCATCGCTCGACATGGCCGCGGCCGCGGTCGATCGATCTCTTTCGTGGCGGAAACACAACGGCAACGCCCAGGCCTCGGCGGTGTGCGCCGTTGGAGGAGGCTTCTTCACCGGACTCGATCTGAGATCCGTCACCAACCCCCACGACCGGGGCGGGCGGACATTGAAACGCCTAGAACTGTGTGCAGGACGGGGCGAGCAGGAGATGGAGTCACGATGAGTTACAAAAAGGAGCATCCAAAGTCAACACTCATGAATGCTGGAAGGAGAACAATGCAAAGGCGACATTTTCCCTAAAAAGAACAAAGAAAGACTTAGAAAGACCAGCAAAACTCCCACGGTTCTTTTCCAATAGACTAAGAGCAACCGGATCTTGTCAAAATCACTCTAGGCTTTCTGGAACGGACGCGCAAGTTTGTTAGGATTGCACGGCTTGGCCGTGAATCCTTCTGGTATTTGGCTGGCTTCCATTTGGAAAGCACATTCGCCCTTCACACGGAGAGCAGCAATCATGCTTGCTGCATGAAAGCAAATCATTCAGCTGCGAATCGAATAGGGAACAAAAACGGTTCTTCACAAGTTGAAAACAAATGCATTCCTTCACAGCTTTTCTACATCGACACAACCTCTTCAAAGGGAATCACTTGAGAAGGTAGTGAAGCAGCAGTCATGGTGGCTGAGGAGTGCGTTCGGGTTCGAGGTCGCCCTAACGAGTCCAAAAGAACCTGCTCCATACCTCACGTGGTGAATTGAGACCATCAACTCAAAACCCGCAATCGAGGCTCTTTCGGAGAAGAAAAAAGAGCACAAGGATGATCCTAATAGCGATGGCCTCCAACCTAATTAATAGCACCATGATCTACCAGAAAATGTTTGAAACATTCAGTTTAGATACTCACCAACTTCTTTCGCATCCGCCGCTGTTCCTGCATGAGGATGGACATGTCGATGGCTCGAGCAGGACCCTTCAAACGCATGCAACCTTCCACAAACTCCGAAGCATCAATATCACCGTGGCCTGGGCAGGGATTCGTAGAAAACGAAAGAAGGGAATCGCTCAGCAGACCCTCCTCAGCAGACCCGTTTCAGATCCGATCTCTGGTTTTTACAGACTCCGTACCTGAGACGTCCATGAGCTTGAAGAGTGTCCAAGCATCTTTGGTCTCAACATCTAATGCCTCAGGGGTGTTCTTTGCAGCTCAAACGAATCGAGTCGAGTCGACCGACGGTGAATCGTCTCATGATGAGTCGGTTCGCAGTGCGGTTCGCCAGGTGCGCACCTGGAAGAACGAGCGGATGTGTGGCTGGTCAAACAAATGCTCAAACTCCGTGAAGGTCAAGTTCTGGTTGTGCGATGCACGTCGCCCACGGTCCTTCTGCAGCATGTGGAAAATAGACATGAACATCTCCACCTGGAAGCAGAAACAGACACGGCGGACAGCACTTTGGTTTGGAATAACAAGGGGCACCAGGCACCAATGAGTCTTTATGAAAAATTACACCGGCATAGGCCCCAGATAGCAACTAACCCCAAAGGCAGAAAGGGCAGCTCTTCCTATGCTTGAAGTGATTGACCACCCAAGAGCTCTCACTTTGTGGGGATTGACCACCCAGGTCTTGGCGAAGAAACGCACACACACCTGCTGCTGCTTGGTATTCAAGACCGCTTGGACGTGCAGCTCTTGGTCACGTTCTGCACTCTCAATCGCCGATTGGCAGAACCTCGTGACGGCACAAAAACTTCTCACGCCGGCAGATGCAGACGCCTGGACTACACATCGACTTCTCTGTCTCTCTCTATCCCTCTATCCATCTCTCCCTATATCGCTCTCCCTCTCCCTCTATCCCTCTCGCTCCCTCTCCCTCTCGCTCTCGCTCTCGCTCTCCCTCTCGCTCTCGCTCTCTCTATATCCGTCTTTCTCCCCCTCCTATCATTTGTGGATGCAGAAAATGCATGCATGGAACGTCAAAACGTGTACAACCCTTACAAGAAGGTTACATCTCTGAAAGGTAGCATCTGGCTGTCGGTCAAAGGCCCGACAACCCGTCAACATTGCGCAAGCTGCATAGAACAGTCAACACCTCGACCTGGGAGTTTTCATCTACCATGATCTTGCAGGAACTCATACAATTAGTTCGTTGCACTCATGAGAGTTACATATTCACAAATTCCTTCCCAACCCCTTGATGAGCCAAAACACATCCCGGTCATCACGTTTAACACGGCAAACATGCCTCAGCAACCAGCCAAAAACTGACATGGCAAGAATTGCTTCACAAACTCATGTCACAAGTCCATAAGAGTTGTGAAAAGAATCTTCAGCAGAGCATTGAGGCTGGTACAAAATGCAATATAGACAACATACAAATAGCCCCAGATTCGACTGAGCTTGTTGAGCTCATCAGCCACATCCCCCCAATTTAATCCATTCACAATGCTCTGAAACAGCGTCATGATGGAGCGTTCCAGGTCAACGAAGTACCGCTCCAAGAACGTTTTGCCTGTATCGGACACGTCCTCGAAACCACCCAGATACTCATTTGACACATCACAAAAGACGATTGCAAAGACGTACATGATCATCACAAGAAGCAGAACAGACCATAGCAGTACCTTCAAAGTTCCAAAAATGGAGTGCACTAGTGATCTCAGCGCCCGGATGAAGCGTACAATTTTCACGATGCGCACCACCCGGATGACCCTGGTCAGTCGTAGAATCCGGATGATTCGGACGTTCCCAGATGCTTTGAATGAGTCAGCATCTTGTCCGGTGCTGGCAATAAAAGACACCAGGTTCAACACCGAGGTGATGTTGATGAGAATATCCAGGTAGTTCCACATCACATTTGGAGAGGACCAAAAGAACGGAAGCCGCTCAGCGAGAATTCGCAGCACCAGTTCGATCAAGAAGAGTGCGGCGTAGGTCTGGTCGATGTAGAAGAAGGCAGGTGGCAAGCCTTCCCTATTGTGGGCTGCAAAGTGCACTTCCACTCCGATGAAAATGCTGTTCGACAAGATGGCAAAAGCAAAGAGAGCTTCAAAGGTCCATGAAGACACGATGCTTTTGATGGCCACAGTAATCTGAGCACTTGCTAAAGTGCTGCTGGAACGATTGTACCTCAACTCCCGGCTTTGCCTTTGCTTCTGGGATTTCTTGAGCTTTTCCATGTGAGCTCGTTCCTCCTCGGAGCCCAAGGAAGTCATTGAAACGCGTTTCTTGTCGCTCGCACGTCGTGAGAGGTTGACCTCTGGCTCCTCCTCTTCACCTGAAGCACGAGGGAAATGAAATGAAATGAATCAGCTACAGACCTACAGCCGAGCCCTTAGTAGCTTCTTGCTCCTAGTAGTAAGGCCAGGAGCCCCTAAACTCCTAGTAGTAGCGATGCCGTTTGTTGCTAGTAGCGTCCTTGTTACTACAACTTCAGGCCGAGCGACCATCTTCCGCCTCTTCAAGCAGCTCTTCTGGCAGATTTGGAGAAAAGCCTTTTCGAGCGAAGAATGGACGCAACGGACATCGGCGACACCGTTTCCGGAGCGGGACAGTCTTAATTCGGTCCGCTTCTGGAGCTGCAAATCTTGATGGTAGCAACGCTGGTAGGCAACGCATCATTTACATGCAGAGTTTGTTGAGCCGTTTGAAAAGATGCGTTTGCCAAACCTCTTGGTGGACTCTTTTCGAAGCAGCCAACTGAATCACACAAACCATCACCCTGAACCAGGAATTTCTGATTTTTGGGAGATATGAAACGCAAATGAATGGGTCTGTTGAGTCTATTGGCTTCTTTCAAGCACTTGAGCTCAATGTGTCCATATCCGGTGGGTTGAGGGTTGGAGAAAAGAAAAAACCAGACCTTGGAGCCTCCCAGTGCGTTGGTCGCAGAAACAAGCCTCCCAGGGGTGTGTGGTTCTAAAGCATGAGAACCAAGCACTACCGTCGCACTAGCAGTTCAGACAAGCTGCTCGGGCGTGTGCCTGTTGTTGTTCTGAGGTGCACGTAGGCTGAAGTCTCACTCTCTGTGGTAACTTTGCTCAGACGATCCACCACACCTTGGTGACAAAGGAGAGAACACAAAATAGCTCAAGTGGACTCCAGAAGCAATATCGCTGAGCGTGAATATCTCCAAGATGAACATCCCAAACATCACCAGCTTCTTGGTCCTTCCGAATGTCCCAATCGGGTCGGGCATCTCTGAGCTGGCCACTCACCCGAGTCAGATTCTGCAGCTTTTCGATGAGCCTCGTTTACGACAAGCTGGACGTGAACCGATGCTGGGGCTCGACCCACTTCGACCGATGCCGGGCTTCTTGGAAGGAACAGCACTCGCTGCGAACCAAGGAACAGCTCGTTGTTTGCTTTCAAGAGGTATTGAAGCCGTTTCTCCCAATCCTCAGGCAGGACAGCAGACTCAGCAGACCTCAGAGCAGCAAAGAGAGTGGCCCGTGGCATTCAGCATCTTGCCATTCACACACAAATCGGGTCGCCCTGAGGCACATGCGGGTCGTATTGGTAGTGGGCAGCCAACTCAAAGCAAGTACGAAAGGCGAAGCTGTGAACAATGCAATGGATGGCAGTCAAGTACAACCTGTAGTACCTATATGGATACGATATCCAATCAATACTCAACAAGGGAACCTCTATCCCCAGCAAAGGCGAACCACACGCCCAAAGTGTTTTCACCACGTAGCACGAAGGTCGACCATTGGTCAAGTCACTGGCAAAAGGATGTCCTACGGATTTGGGCCGAGGAAGCATCGGGAGGCCAACACGTCACCAAACCGAACCTGTCAACCTCACTTTCCAAGATGCCCCAAAAACCTTGGCCATGAGATGCTTCCAAGGTCGAACCACAGGACGTGCCCTGCTTCTTGCGCAGTTTCTTCGCGCTTGTGAAGTCAGGGTCGTAGCCAAGCGTCCATGATCCTTCGATCAGGGACTTCTGAAGCACACCTAGTGGTAGTGGCTTCGTCAAGGCGTCGGCCAGCTGAGCATTTGAATGCACCCATCTGACCACGGTGGAATTGGATTCCAAAGATTCCAGCAAACACAGCACCTCCAGCGCCGTGAATTTGTCCTTCAAACCGGCACCTGAGGAATTCAGATCCCTCTTGAGGAGCACATCGTAAAGTGCCTTAGCGTCAACAACAACGCCACCGACGACTTGTTTCACCGCGTCGGATGGCTTCTTCAAATTCACAGGCACTCCACAAAATTCGGCCCACGCGAGCCGGGTGAACATCAGCTCCTGGTCGCACTCTGCGAGTGCCTGGGTTTCGGCACTCAGCGATGACCGTGCCTTCCTCTGGAGGCGGGCCGATCGCCAGGAAACAAAAGAAAGTGGACTTCTCTTGCTTTCAAACATTTCAGGGGTGGTTGCTGCAATCAGGTATCCCCCTGTCGATCCTAGGTCCTTGCGATTTGCCAAGGCGGCATCCGACCAACCTACAAAGCAAACATCAAGGGGGTCCGAAAGGTGCAGCTGATTCACCTTCACTGAAACATGCCTGGCCTGAAAGGCCTCGCGAACCAGCTTGTTTGCGGCCCTCAGGGTCGCCACAGTTGCAGTGTTGATCTCACTCTGAAGTTGTCCAAGCCTGGCTGAAAGCATTGGCGAGGACTGGTTGACACGCCACTGCAAGGCACCCAACACGCCACGAAGCTGTGTGAGCTCTTCGGAGGTTGCCAACTCATGGTCTGCTCTGCTCCGAAACTCTATCTGCTCAACCCCTTCAATGAACTTTGAATGATCCAGCACAAAACTATAATCCGGTTGCTCCATGATCTGCAGTCCACAATGTGAAAAATTGCTATGCTCCCACGGGGACCACTGGAATCTGCTGTAAAACCGGGTCAGTTTGGATACCCATTCATCATTCTGCTCATTTCCGGACACGAGGAAATCATCGACGTGTGCACATACATATCCAAGGGTCGTGCTTCTCTGCTGCTTGGGACCTGAGTCTAAATCCTTAGATGCATATAGCAGACCAAAGGCACGGGTCGGTCTTGCTCTGCACAAAGTCGAGATCCTTCAAGGTGTCCCGGATGCACTGGAACCAGGAAGCTGGGGCGTTGACCAAGCCGTAGCATGATTTCACCACCTGTACTGCTTGGCCATCAGGAATGCCCAAAGCTCTTGCAAGTTCCGGCACCGGTAAAGCAAACAGGTTGCGGTTCTCCTCCGTGCGTTCTCCTTGGAGGAAAGCGCTCTTGACATCACCCTTGAGCACCCTCCAGCATTGCACACTGGAGTACTGTAGCGCGAGTTGTCTTGTTCTTCTGGTCATTGTAGGTGCGGCGCTCTGGATGCTAGCGAGGTCTGGGTCTTCGTAGCCAATGAGGACGATGCGTCCCTTCGCTGCACCGCTTTCTTTGTGGGTTAACACCCATCTCATACGGACCAGTCGATCCCGAGGGATAGGACCGATGGCCTTCTTCACCGCGGAGGCGGCGAGCCACTGTGAGACCTCAGCTTGCTTTGCGGCATCAAATTCTTTCTTCTTGGCCTCACTCAATTCGTGCCATTTGACTTCGGCACCTTTGAGCTTCTTCACGAAATAGGCCTCAGCATTCCTCTTCAAAGATCGCCACTCCGAAGATTTCGAAGGCAAGGGCAGCTCGATGGCGCAGGCTAGATTCGGGTTGCAGAATGAGCCATCATCTGCAAGGAATGAAGTCGCCAGCAGCTCATCGTCCGAAGCGCCATGTTGGCGTCTTTGTTTCTTGAAGAGGGGCTGCTCGAATAGCTCAGGCAGCTTGCGCCCTTCACCGGTCGCCATGGGTTGCGGCTCATACGACGGGTCGCTAATCAAGCGTCCCAAATCTACGCCCGTTGAGCGAGGTTCACTTTGGATCCCGCTGGAAGATGATCCCCTCGGGTTCCTCGGTTTTGGGGTCGTATTCTGTGGGGGATTGAACGCTTCTTCGAGCGTCATGTGTTCCATTTCTTCTATTGTTCTTGACATCTTGGCTTTTTGATGTGCCCCTCCATCGCCAGATGTCTCTTTCACAAGTCTTTTTGGGGTCTTGTCACTTTCTTGGCGGACATCTTCTCGGGTCCTTTCTTGGGCATCTTCTCGGGCCCTTTCCACTCCTAGCCTAGGAACCGAAGAACTCCGTCTCATAGTCGCGGGTGTAGAAGGTGCAGCCTCTGGGCCAACAGAACGGGACCTTGGCGTCTTTGGCGCTCCACGAGAAACAAGGTCTTCTGGCAACAAATAGTCATCCAGAATTTCATATTCTCCTTTCCAAAGACTCTGAGCTAGGCTATGGAATGTCCAGGTTGTAGTGGGAGAGCTCATGCCTTCTGCAATGGCCTGTTCTCGAGCCGACGCATGTCGCAGCTGCTCTGGGGAGCATCTTTTCAATCGCCCTTGCGAAACCAACCAAATGATGCTGCTAGGCTTTCGCTCCATGCCTTTTGCATCCGTCCTGGTTTCTGAGGCCAGGACACGAGCGGGACCGTACCACCTCCAAAGTTTGTGAGGTAGGCGAAGATGTGCTTGAGATTGAGCCGGTGGCTTCACTCGCTTGAAGCAGACCAGATCTCCTGGCAAGAAGACCTGTTGTCGCCTCGTCTTGGCGTTCTTCGCTCGGCTCATCAGCTCCTGAGATTGGTGTCGAAGGAAAGCTTGTTGTGCCTGAACTCGGATTTTTAGGTTCTTCATCATGCTCGAACCTGGGACCTGCACCGAAGTCCAATAGGGCATGTCGAGGTCGGAGTCGTGCATACGGCCAGTCAAGGTCGGCTGTCTGCCGAATGCCCACTGATATGGACTGTAGCCCTCAACTCTTTCAAATTGGTTGTGAGCTTGGCAAGCATGTGCGATGGCTTGCCAGGGATGGACGTCACCGCCCTGCAGGATTTGCCGTGTAGAGCTCTTCAAGGTGCGAATTGCTCTTTCAATCACTCCAATCTGACCATGATCTTCTGCAGCACATGGTAGAAGCTCCACTCCCCTTTCATCAGCCCATGTGGAGAGAGCTGTCGATCTGAAAGCCCCTTCCGGGTCCATGCGCAATTTGCCAGGCAAACCATAGTGCATCACCCATGAATGCTCCAATCCATAGATCACCTCCTCAGCGGTGGCATTGCGGGAAGCTTCTCGAGGATGTTCAAACAAGGGATGCACACACAACAGGCGTGATGCCTCATCAATCATGGCCATATAGTGGTAGGTGGTGTCATCCACAGTGAACCCCATGTTGTCGATCACGAGAGTTTCCCAAAGCATTTCTGACTTCTCGATGGACAGCGCGGGATTCAAAGGCGCTGCTCTCAATTCTTGACATTCAGGACATTGATGGCGTGATGCCATATCAATCACCTCTGGGTGAGCACCTCGATGTCGTAGGCGTCCGCTCAAAGCTGCATTGGATGGATGTCCTGTTCTTTTGCGCAGTCGCTCCAGCATCTTCTCGACACCTTTTCTCTCCACTTCGGAGAGTGGTGTCACTCTTTTCTTCTTCACCTCCTTCTCCTCGATGTCCATGTCACGGGTGTCGAAGACGGGATAGGCTGGTAGTACACCTTGTGCTCCGACGTCGGTCATTTCTCGAATGGCTCGAAGCACTGCCTGACAGAACTTCTTTGGGTAGAAGCCGGACTTCCTTGCTAGTCCTCCTCCAAGACATTCTTGATGTTCAGGATGTACGAGGTGGCCTGGGCAAGTTCTTGAAACAGCCTGCGTCAAAGTCCTGGATGTTGTCTTGATGGTCCATGGCTTCTTGATTGGAAGGTCTGTCTTCTCATCCTTCACGTCGAAAGCGCACCCATCAGCTCTTGCGATATGTAGGTCACCAGAGGATTCCAGCCTTTGCCAAAATGCTCGGACTGGTTGAAGATTCCACCCACGATTGTTCGTGGGCCATTCCCATGCGACTTCACCTCCACATTCAAGTTGATGAGTCGCGACCTCCAGCCCGTTCTTAATCAGCTTCTTGGATTTCTTCTTCCTCTCCAAGCTCCGTTGCATGGCCTTCTCGTCCTTCTCGTTGAAGAGTTCCTGAATTGGCGAGTAGGGTCCACATGGAAGTGAGAACCAAGCAACTTTCGGCTTCCAGCGACTGATCATCTCCTTGATCTCCAAAACACCTTTCTTGCTGGACAGGTCGTGGGCCGGTAGTCCAACTCGCAGAGCTGTCCGACCGGCATCCAAAAACACCTGAGTCAGACGGGAATCAGGAGGGCAGCAGATCTCCAAAAGATCAATTCCATCTTGGGGAGGTAAAAGGTCTCTCCAAGCAGCATGCGCCTCCTCCATGAACTCCTCCACCACGCCCTGTAGGAGCTCTTGTTGGGGCTTACTCAAAATGCCCATTCGTTCACCATCATAGGCCTTGTCCGGGATCGTGTAATCGAGGTCGTCGCCGTCCGGGGTCGACTTATAGTGGTCAAGGTCGTTGGTGTTCACGGGGATGCGGCACTCCCGCCGCTCTCCGGTGGTGTTGCGATCGAGACCACCGACCAAGATTCGACCTCCTCGGGTCCCTTGTCGTTCTCCCTCTTCATGGCCTTCTTCTGGTCGGGTGACACTCGCTGGGTTCCCTTGGCCGCTGAGGCATGTGTTGCAGGCATCTCCGCATCGTTTGGCTTGTAGCCTCCGGGACGAAGTCGAGGTGGATTCTTGGCCTTCTTGGCTTCCAACTCTTGAAGCTTCTTGCGAAGGGACTCCTCCGCTCCGGTCTGGCCGATGGACTTCACGTTCAGGTTCTCCCGGTATAGCGGCTCTTCCTCCAGTCTTTTCGAATCGATGGTCTCCGTCACGGTGGTCACATCTGGAGGGAGTGGACCTGCTTGTCTGTATACTCCAGTCGCTCCATAGGCTGGAACATACTCTGTCCTGAGGCGGCAGCGTTCGCACACTGTCCACATTCCGAATTTGTTCCTCCCGCTCAAAGATCCTCTTCCCGGTGGCATTGGCTGGTGGTTGCCATAGCAGGGAAATCCTTGGGCTCGCGGGTCGTCTGACACCGGGCCTGTCGCCCTCGAGAAATCGTATTTCTCTGGCGTTGGAGTCCGATCCTTCTTGGACTTCCGGGAAGATGATTTGGCCTTCTCGGCACGAGCTTTGTTCTCCGCAGCCTCCTTGAGCAAAGCATCCTGGCTTCTTGGTTTGGTCGGCGTCGGTGGAGAGGATGCCATGATGCACCAATGGGAGGACAGTCGAGGCTGCGGCGAGTGTCACAATGGCTCTTGCACCAAAGTGCATGCTTGAGCTGGAAGGGTCATCCGGAGAGGCGAACTCTGTCACGCACTTGTCAACCACATCACCTTCTTCGAGACTCTCACAAAAAACATGTTGTGATGAAGCTGCAAATTCCTCATGCATGGACATGTCATGAACTGGTACTGCATCATGAAGTTGAGACTCAAAAGATTCTTCACAAACACGTTCGTCCGGCCACATGTCCCACTCAGGTCCGTCAAACAGCTCCATATACGCTCCGGCGGACACGGAGGGCTCATCAAGGTGATACCAGTCTCGGGTCATGTCCAAAAGGAGGTGCTCGTTGGCACTTTGCTTGAGAGGAATCCAAGCATCAGAAAACCTACGGAGCTGCATGCGGTTCAGTTCGGTGTCGATGCTGGCTCCCATCTTCCTCAGCGTGCGGACGCTCAGCAGCAGCGGCACGCCAGGAGCATCTATGGCATGCACTCCCAAGGTCAGAGTGGTTCCATCGATGGTCTGTGGAAGTTCAATGAAAGAGGTGGCCTTTTGCGTGTCTCCATTTCCAAACTTGAAGCGCTTGGTCTCTTCATGAACAACGATCTCCTCATGGCCGAAGTTCTGGAGACGAAGGTTCATGATCTCCTGCAAGGCCTCGAGGGAGGCTAATGACTCGGTTGCACCGAGATCGATCACTGCATGGCCAGGGAACTCAACTGCCACCGCCGCGAGAGCGGCTGTGGTGTCCTCCGTGGCCGTCATGGCCTGCTGCTCATTCTCCTCGACAGGCAGGACAACGAAGATCTGGTTTGAGAAGTAGTTTGGCCTGGTAGAGGATGAGTTCGAGGTCGAAGTCTCAGATCTTCTCTTTGGGCAACCACGAAAGTCATGGTCCTTGCTGCCACAAATGAAGCACCCTCGATATTCTGGGTGTCCCGGTCGTTGAGTGGAGCCGGAAGATCCCTTGCCCTTCTGGAAGTTCGCCAGGGCAGACGAAGTGCTTGAAGGCGAGGCTTGAACCCCCTTTGGTTTACCCTTCTTACCTTTTCCTTTGGACTTTCCTTTGAACATGGAAAAGGGGTAAAAACCTCTGGAGTGCTGCTTAGCGTAATTGAGCTTTCGGCTATCTCTAAACGATCTCATCTTGTCTTGAAAGGCGGCGAAAGCTGAAAAGATGGCCTCTGAATCATTCGGAGTGGCTTGTGCACATTCTTCAGCATCCATCCACTCCTTGGTCTCGGTCCAAGACCAGAAAATGCCTTCAGCGTCCTGAGCATAAAAATCATCGTCCATCCACTGCCAACTCAACTCCTGTCCGTCCGGGGCCCATGTGCTCCATGCAGTGGATGTTGGAGAAGGGTCATCCCAAACAGGGTAAACATCTTGTGGCAAACGATCACCAACCCAATAAATTGCACTATCATCAACCTCTTCTGTTTCCAAATCACCCAACAAACCCCACTGTGAATCCTGCTCGACCCAAAACGATCGACGTGGGCGATGCAAGTCGCCCCGACTCCGGTTGGCTTCTGCCACGAGAAGCTCTTCCTCCTGGTCACGCATTGCACGTTCCATGGTGTCCAAGTCAAGCCGATTGTTGATGGCGCTCAAGACTGAAAGGCGGGCAGATGCGGGAAGTCCGCTCCTACGGAGTAACAACCATCCCAAAATCTCTTGGGGAAGGATCTGCACTTCACCAAATTCGAACTGTTCCCAACGAATGGTCTCTTCTTTTTGATCCCACCAATTCGAAGACGTGTCATCGTCTTCTTGTCTCTGCCAGCGGTCACGTTGCCACTGGCGCCATTCGTCAGCGGTCCATCGCTGCTCGGACCAACCATGCTCTGACTGCGGAAGCTCCTCATAACCTTCATGGTCATTGGGCTCCTCATTGGTCTCCTGGACTTGTCCAGTTCTGCCGGGATTGGAACCTCCCTCAGGGATGTCTGGGAAGGTCACTGGCGCATCTCGTCTGGCCTGAGGTGTCGTTCGGTCAGACCTTTGTGCTGGAGTCGGCGATGAGGCACTCGGTCGGCGGCTGTTCAACTCAACTGCAACTTCGGAACCTGGGTTGTTCTGCTGTCGCTGACGGGCCATGGCTCTTTGCAAGCGTCGGTATGACTCCCTCAGTGATGTGGCCCATTCTGTCATGGAAGCTCCAGGTTGTCTTCTCAACTTCATGAAAAACTCTTCCAATCTTTGTCCAACATCAGGGATGGGGGTCTTGCACAAACGCTCTTCCAAAAAGCTCAACAAATATGCTGCTCCGTCAGCTCGCTGCAATCGACTGTGGTCCACCTCGGCTGAGGTGATATCCCAAGCCTTGCCGGTGAGGCGACTTGCCAACTCAGCTCCAAGCAGACAACGCTTCTTAGGTTCAGTCCTCTCATACTGCAGTCGAACACGCTTGACGTAGTCCAACCAACGAGAGGCGTCACCGTCCCATGTTGCTATGTGCTCCTTGCGTTCAACTGTTGTCATGGAATCAAACCACCGATGCACAATGTACAATGTAAATTCCAACAAACGAATTCCGGTTGTCCAAAATTGGATCTGGTCCCAACTCCGGACCGTGCACAGCCAACTGAACCCAACAAGGTCGATGTTCGACACCAGTGCAAGATCAGCCAGCACCAATCCCGGTAGGGAGCCTCTGGACGAGGCTCCGCTACCAGTATTGGTAGTGGGCAGCCAACTCAAAGCAAGTACGAAAGGCGAAGCTGTGAACAATGCAATGGATGGCAGTCAAGTACAACCTGTAGTACCTATATGGATACGATATCCAATCAATACTCAACAAGGGAACCTCTATCCCCAGCAAAGGCGAACCACACGCCCACAGTGTTTTCACCACGTAGCACGAAGGTCGACCATTGGTCAAGTCACTGGCAAAAGGATGTCCTATGGATTTGGGCCGAGGAAGCATCGGGAGGCCAACACGTCACCAAACCGAACCTGTCAACCTCACTTTCCAAGAGGTCGCCCTTCATGGCGGCTCCAACTCCGTGTCGAACTTGAAATAAAACAGCATCACCAAAGCTCAACAGCACACTCCGCACTGTTGAGATTCCGTAAATTAAACCTCTACAATTCGCCAACAGTCTCCTAATGGATGGAAAGCAAAAGCCTGAACTAGCAAGAGACAGCTTTCATTTTAGTTCCAGTTGAAAAGCTGGCATGAATGGCTGCCTCGAAGTTGTTGAGAGAAGAAACGATTCAGCTCGCTCTCTCTCTCTCTCTCTCTCGCTCGCTCGGGACTTCATAGGAAAAGATGCTCACAAATCGCTCGGTGGCGGCGGCAGCTGTTCTTTTTGCAACCTTTTTCCTGACGCATGATGACCAAAGGCTTCTTTCCGCTCTGGACGCTCAATCCTTGCTTTGGCTCTTCTTGGCAGGTCGATCCTGCAAGAGGGAGGCCCCGTCGCCCAATCCGAGATAGGTCGCCACCCCTGACCCCTTCTGGCAGGGGTTGAAATCGAGGTTGCCCCAAACCCATGATGCAAAACAAGAAAAACGGGAACAGAAAAAGCAGCAATTGAAGCTTTGAGGAACCTAATCCCTCAACACCCGCTCACACTCCAGCGGTGCGGTAAGTCCTCTCGCAGGGCAGCAGCAATGCTGCTCATCGCATAATGATCGTCGAAGGCACACTGGCCAAGTCTTGAAAGTCTTCAGGATGTTGAAGTGATTGAAATCAAAACACACCGTCATCCACCTCAGTCACTTACTCCTCACCTCGTCATCTAGCAGCAAGGCCACATCCTAGAAAAAAGCACACTCTGTCACCCGTGTGAGACCAGTCGCCCATGTTTTCGGAAATGCTCAGTTCAAGACTTGATCTCTTTGTCCTGAAATTTGAGTCACAAGAGTTCGACCACAAAAAAGCAAATCCAAAAAACTCCAAAAAAAAATTACACCACCGTAGACCCCAAACAGTTTTTTGTTTTTCAAAACCGGAACACTCTGCGACTAGAGCTTGCGACGTCCAGAGCTGGGAGACAAAGGATTGCAAGGCAGAGGCGGCCACAGCAGTCCAGAGCTGGGAGACAAATGTAGACACAGGGAGACACATGTAAAGGATTGCAAGTGACATGCAGCCCAGAGCCCAGAGCTGGGTGACAAATGTAAAGGATTGCAGGGCAGAGCAGCTGGGAGACAATGTGAAGGGTTGCAAGCGAGAGGGGGAGAGAGGAGGCACATGTAAACGAAAAAAGGAAGACAAGGCGGACACAATGACCAACAAGAATGGGGACAACAAGGGAGACAAAAAGGGAGACAAGGCGGACACAATGACCAACAAGAAGGGACACAAAAGGAAACAGAAGGGAGACAAGACGGACCAAATCACCTGGGAGACAGGTGAATAGCAATGCTGGAAAGGGAAAAAGGGCGGATGCCAGCAGTGCAGGCACCGAACCTGGAAAACAAAAGTAAACAAACCACATGGGAAACAAATGAATAGAAATGCTGCATGGCCAGCGGAAAAGGGCGGACACCAGCAATGCAGGCACTGAACCTGGGAGACAAAAGTAAAGAAATCACTTTAAAGACAAACGAATTGAAATGCTGCATGGCCAGCGGAAATGGGCGGACACCAGCAGGGACACATCTTAAGAAAGAATTGAAAAACCCTACGTATCGGCAAATCATTTGGGGAATGAATAAAAATGTTGCATCGCTAGCGGAAAAGGGCGGACACCAGCAGTGACACACCTTGGAGACAAATGAACAGAAATGCTACATGGCCAACGGAAAAGGGCGGA